ATAACTCCGTTGTTATATCAACACAAAACTATTACTGCGACATATCATCTGTGAGAGAAAAAGAAGTTATTTGTAACTAAGTCATAGTGAGCTATGACCTACATTTAAAAAACTAAAGTTGATGCTGATATCTCAAACTCTAGAAGAGTTGGTATAAATTTCATATTTTTTTCGAAATCACTTTGAATAACTGCCATGAGAATGTGAAATTCCTATTTGAATATTTTCATAAATAAAGAAGTTACGGAGGAGACATGAAAATGATCAAAATCTGTTTTTTGCGTATAAAACAAAAACGAATAGATTTTATAAAAATATTTTTTCACATTATAGTTGGCCTTGACAAACTCCACATTTGGTGTCATTTAACCGACCTCGTATCTCTCACCGTTGAAAAGATACCCATGGTGAGCATGGTAAGTGGGACACACTGTATAGAAAACCATAAGTGGGTCGAATTTGAAAATTTGGGAGTTCACTATTGTTGATAAGTGCTATCCGACTAAAATATTTTGAAGATTGTGGCAATTTCCGGTTGTACCAGAAGTGGACCCCAACTTCGTTATTTTAAAGGGGACTCTCTGTATATTATTAAGGTTTTAGATTTTACGCATGATTCTGAACATGTTTCATGTATAATGACCTTTACCCAAGTATAACCGTTTTCGAAATATTTCAAAATTTTAAGTTAAAAACTGCACTTGCAGACCGAAAAATATTTTTTTTATTTCTGGACATATCATTAATTTTCGATCGTGTATCGATTTATTCGTAGGAGAGGACCCAGTTCAGTAGAATTTCGATATCAATTCGATTACTGTTATACACGGCGTTCACCAGAACATATAATACAGATCCGGTGGAAAAAATTATTGTAAGTCGATTTTTTTCAAATGGAAACCGCCTAATTTTGAATTCTCATTCGATTCGTCATCGAAAATGAAGCTAACTTTGCATGAGGTTATCTATGCCTACACTCAACAGTTTTCGAAATATTGGCGAATTAACATGTCTCAGTTCCAGAAAATCTCGTACTCTTGAGTTTACGTATTTTTAGTTGACCATGGCGCCCGCAGTTGCGTTGGAAACAATCAACTGCCACAGAAATGTCATTAGTGATCAATCATGCCAGCTCGTTTGAATTATTCGAATGAAGATCACTTAAATCTATTAAGTAATTTATGGCGAATGTAAAAGGGTTATCTCAAGAACATGTGATATATTTGCTATTCGGTATCCGCAGAAGCAGAATAAGCCCTCACAAAATACTTTCTAAACGAATTATTGAAAATTTCAAAAATTTTGGATCCGTCAAAGCAAGGGTGCAGAGAAACAAGCCAATTGTTGATGATGAAGATATTGAAATTGCCATTTTGGGATATTTTGCTGCATATCCAACAATATCTTTGAGACAAATTGCAAGAAAATCAGGATTGTCAAAAACTCAGTACATAGAATACTGCAAAAACATAAATTTCACCCATATAAGTTCTCCATAGTTCAGCACCTGAAAGAAACAGATTTTCAACGAAGAGTGAGATTTTGTGAATTCGTTTTGAATAATAAATAGAGAAATAGTTAAGTTATTAACTTCATCCGAATAATTCAAACGAGCCGGCATTATTGATTACAATGACATTTCCGTGGCAGTTGATTGTTTCCAACGCAACTGCGGGCGCCATGGCCAACTAAAAAACCGTAAACTCAAGAATACGAGATTTTCTGGAACTGAGACATGTTAATTCGCCAATATATCGAAAACTGTTGAGTGTAGGCATAGATAACCTTATTCAAAGTTGGCTTCATAATTTTCGATGCCGAATGGAATGAGAATTTAAAATTGGGGGGTCTTACAAAAATTTTTTCAACCGGATCTGTATCATTTTCTGGTGAACGCCCTGTACCTATATAACTGTAATCGAATTGATATCGAAATTCTACTGAACTGTGTCCTCTCCTTCTAAAATCGATACACGATCGAAAATTAATGATCATCATGTCCTGAAATTAAAAAAAAAATTTTTCGGTCTGCAAAGGCAGAGTTTTTAACTTAAAATTTGAAATATTTCGAAAATGGTTAGAATTGGGTATAGGGCATTATACATGAAACATGTTCAGAATCATGCGTAAAATCTAAATTCTTGATAATATATAGGATGTTCCATTCAAAATAACGATGTTGGGGTCCACTTCTGGTATAGCCGGAAAGTGCCACAATCTTCAATATATTTTAGCCGGATATAGCACTTATCAACAATACTGAACTCCCAAATTTTCAAATTCGGCCCACCTATGGTTTTCTATATATTGATCGATGCAATTCCCCGAGGGACACCCTGTATATCACTGTCTACTTATAAGAAGTTCAATAAAATCTGGTAGACATGCATTCATAATTACCTTTCCAGCAAACATTTTTTTTGTTTAATGCAATATACAGGGTGATTCAAAAGTAAGCGGCATCCTTTCAGAGGCGTATTCCTTGCATGAAAATAAGGCAAAAAGTTCCTATTGATAAGGATCCGAAAATGCTTCCTAAGGGAGCTACGGCCCTTTGAATAGGACACCTCAAAGACGGTTTTTTCTCTATAACTTTAAAATCCTTCACAACAAATTTTTAAAAATTGGTGTACGGCATAAACATTCGATGGTAAATAGGACTCCGTATTCGAAATAATTTCCAAACGAAATCACAGTAACCTGAATATCCGGAGAAGAAGGGATATTTTTACACTTACCCTCTCCCGCATGTGACGCCCCTGAATGAAATTCTGAAATTTCGAATACGGAGTCCTATTTACCATCGAATGTTTATGCCGTACACCAATTTTTAAAAATTTGTTGTGAAGGATTTTAAAGTTATAGAGAAAAAACCGTCTTTGAGGTGTCCTATTCAAAGGGCCGTAGCTCCCTTAGGAAGCATTTTCGGATCCTTATCAATAGGAACTTTTTGCCTTATTTTCAAGCAAGGAATACGCCTCTGAAAGGATGCCGCTTACTTTTGAATCACCCTGTATAAGTAAAACACATTTCATAAGCCTTTTGCATTTTGATTTTGAATATTCCTATACTAGATGGAAAACTTATGAAGTTGTTTATTTCCAATCATTATTGGCTATAATCAGTAGTAAATACTCTCGGTTATACTATACAGGGTAACGCACGGTCTTTGGTATGTTAGACGTTTATGGATTTTTTCTGAAAATTTCGCATCTTACATTTTATCACCTGTTCTATTAAAAGTCCTATAGCAACTTCATTATTTCAAAAGTAACACTTCGTATATTAATACATTCTTAGAATTGCCTTTTCATTACAATACTCTTTTGTTGATTTGTTGCTGATAAATCCCTATAGCTATCTCTATCGATTTTCGAGATAAAAAATGATTTGTTAAATATGATCGAAAACATATCCCTAATTGAACTTAAGTAAATCAGGGCTCTCAATTCGCTAAGAGTTGATATTTTAGTGGTGGTTTGGACAGTCTTGATGTATTCAATTTACACCGAGAAATCGCCTCCATATCATACAGGGCGTGCTGTAATAATTATTATTATATCCGTTGTTCACACAAGTGGTCAAAAGTTCATTTTTTCAAATGAAACCTACTGTTAAAAAAAATATATATTACAAGATGACATAGCATGTCCCTATACCTAAATCATCAAGTTTTCCTAATGAAGCCGCTTTTTGTGAAAAATATAATTTTATGAAGAAGTTATAATTTTAGATAGCCATGGAAATATCAAACTCAAAAGTTCTCTCCTCTTCCATCTCTCTGCGATGCTACCAACGTGGCCGCATTGAAATATAGAGAGGTCCGATAAATCTTTCCATGTCTAACATCTACTTTGTGCCACTGAACTATTTTTCAATTCAGCAGAGTTTCAAATTTAACGATATTAACAAATTATGTCAAAATAAGTATGATATAAATCAAAATTTCATTTTGAAAATTCGAAATGTCATCAGTCAATGACATTCATGACATAGCCATATCACGTCATTATAATGTCGAAAATAGTTCAATGGCGCAGAATAGAGGTTGGAAGATTCTTCGTCTTTCAATTTATTGAGTAAAAACCAGTGGGTTCCATTCGAAAAAAATGAACTTTTGACCACTTGTATGAACAACGGATATAATAATAATTTCAGCACGCCTTGTATGATATAGAGGCGATTTCTTGGTGTAAATTGAATACATCAGGCCTGTCCAAACCACCACTAAAATATCAACTCTTCATGAATTGAGAGCCCTGATTTACTTAAGTTCAATTATTGATATATATTGGATCATATCTAATTATTTTTTATTTCGAAAAACGATAGAGATATGTATAGGGATTTACCAACAAAAGAGTATTGTGATGAGAAGGCAATTCTAAAAATCAATTAAATATACGGGGTGTTCCATTTGAAAAAATGATGAAGTTGCTAGGACTTTTTGTTAGATACGGCATCATCGCAATTTCGAAAATATTTTAGATCGATAGAATATAGGTGATAAAATGTAACATGCGAAATTTTCAGAAAAATCCTGCATTGCGTTCTCCATACCTACCATCGACCGTGAGTTATACCCTGTATATAAAAGTAGCTACTTCAAAATATGCCAGATTAGTCCAATAAATGAAGGAGGAAAAAAAGGCAAAGTCAACGTTAATTACGCACTACTTTCATCTTCCGGTTGGAAGTAGCTTTTGGTACCTCATTAAACATGAGACAAAGTTTGACTGGAAAACGCGTGCGATGGCGGAGAAAATGGCCCCAAAAGACCAGGAAAATAGGTTTTCAGCCAATATCTCCTAAAATATGGCAGTTAGAGATTTTCGGTTCAGATGAAAATTGAAGTTCAGTTAATTTTCTACAGAAATAGCTTTAACACCCTCGCCATTTTGAGCAAGTAGGTACCTCACACAAATTGTATCAAAATTTGACAACACTCTAATGAGCATTAAACTCAGCATTAAATAAATGAATGATAATACACAAGGTGTGACATTATATTTATTTATTATTCTTAATAGTAATAGGTACCATATTTTGTTACTCAATATCATTTATTCTACCCCACTTGAGTCTGGATTTTTTCATTTCCAATTTGAGCCAGGATGGAACATAACCATCAAAGAATACTGCATTGGGAAATGGTAAAGGTGGTGGAGGTGCTTTAAAGGGGTGCACATTTTTCATCTTCCTCATGAGAAATTCTTTATTGATCTGTTTGGGATCCCTATATTTGTCCATGTACAAATTGAAGGGTTCTTTTTTCGGAAACCACTTTTGCTTCTTGATATATGGTGGAAGGAAGTCATATTCAAAAACTGGTTCTTTCATGTCTAAAAACAAAAAGATAAATTAACCACAGGGGATTTGATACGAGCAGTTGTTGATAGTGAACATACACTATTTATAATGGTATATTTGTGATCAACTCACCAAGAGTGTCATGGTAAAACTTTTTCAAGGATGAATCCCAATCAGCTTGGAAAAATGCTAACCCAGCAGGTGTTATATCTTCTTGTAGATTTTTGTAAAAATCATAGGTATGAAAGGTTCTCTCTGATAATGTCAAACTAAGCAAAATGAGAGTTACAATTTTGTTTTATTGTAATATGAAGATCTTACCATTGGCCTTCCCTTTTGAAAAAGGAAAAGTCAAGTTTCTTCTCTTGCTTGTACAAAATGAATATGTGCCTATGATAACCAGTTCCTTTTGGAGGAAATGGCTGTAAATATTCTACAATTGTCTCTCCCTTGTCAATATTGTTTCCAGGTATGTTAGCTCTAGAAATATTGAACAATGAATAACCAATGAAATTGAGGAAGATATCTTGAGTTTGAAAATGCATACTTACACAAACCAGTGAACATATTCTCTTTCATTTTCAGTGAAGTGACCATCAGGGTTGGTTAAAATCAATGTCCAAAGATCATTACTATCACTATCATAGCTTACTTTTGGTTTTCTACTGGCTTGTTTTGGTTTTATTACATTTCCAAAGTAAACTGGTATTTCACCATCTCCTGTATCAAAAGATATGTTCACTGGTACTCTGGGATAAAAATAAGCATCACCAAATAAATGTTCAAATACTCCATAATGCTCAGCTATCCCTTTTATTTGCAAAGGACCTGCTGTTGTTATCCATTCTTTGTCCACATCTTCCATATTAACAATTACTGAAAAAAAAAACAATGTGAAACCACCAAGTGGACAAAGGTTACATAAGAAAGAATATTGAGAGCATTCTAACACTGTTTTGTTCCAGCCAACTTCTCAAGCATTGGGTTTTTCCTCTGTTCCTTCAGATATTTAAGCCTTTCATCTAAGACTTTTGATCTGGACAATCGAGGTGGGGGCAGACCAATGTCCACTTTGAAATAAATCGCCGGGTTCAGGTAGTTCTTCTCTAAAAAGATTATAAAGTTGATAAGTTTGAAGGGGATGATGAGTGATGAACTTTTACCTGATAATTTTTGTTCTAAAGATTTGGCTATTCCTGGTGGTTTTCCTCTCAAATGATGACCATTCCTTATAGAACCACATAATGAAGAACTTATATTTCCAGTTATATTTGTGTTATAAAGTTTCCAAAACGAACTTGCCATTTTTAAAAGAAAAGAGTTAGGTTAGTTTAAGGTTAAGGTTTAAGAGACATGTTTGCGATAATTCAAGTAACCATGATTTTCGATATGGACACATTCTTCGACCAATCAGAACTATTCTAGCTATGATGGAGCGGAGGGCAGTTGTATGACTCGTATGAGTCGTATGGGCGGTATACGTATAATATGATGGGCGGTCATGGAGAGCTCGCATCAAATCTCACACTCTCGTACTCACGCCAGTACGCCACATTTAATGCACAATCAGTGTTGCCACAGGCTCTAAAAATTTCGTGCCAGATTTATCTTCCAAAACGGGCCAGATTTCTGTAATTCGGGCCAAACCCTCATCTTTGCCATTAATAGGTGCGTTTTATTGGTAAGATTTTTCCACCGGCACCGGAATGACAATTTATGTCGTTTTATTGAACGAAATTCTGAAACTGGGTTCCAACTTTTCATTCCGCCTTCTCATACGGAATGACAGGATGACGATTATGGAGGGAGTGTACGAAATGGCGGAAATGGCGGTATTTCAGATACTCTAACCTCGAAATCTGAACTAAAAATTGCCTAAAAGTGAACTCGCCTCAGGAAATATTTTGGTATTGTTCGCAATTCTACCCAGAATACTATCAAACACCTATGGACTCCTGAAATGACTTTTGAATGTTGATAAATCCATTTGCGGTAGGTATATTACTTCTTCATAATAATTTTGAATTTTTGGTATAATAATGCTAGAAAATCTGAAGTCGAGTATTCCTGTAGATAACATCAGAAGACTAATACAAGTATAAAACCCTTTCTAGTATCAAGGAATCAGTTTCATCGATAAATATCAATGTATTTTGCCTTCTAATCAATGCAACTACTAAGGAGGATAACAAGAAAGCGGGAACAACATCCATTATTGGACCATTATAAATTAAAATTATAATTATGTACGGATAAACAGCAAGATCCCGGAATTATCATTATTATATCACCTAAAAAAGATCAGCTGCATGTCACAACTTTCAAAATACATCACATCGTTTTATTGGTCGTCAATTCTACTGCCACCAGTTGGAAACCAAAAAAACGCACCTACTATAAGTCAACATTGTCACACTGCTACAAATCAACATTCAACATAAAACCGCATAAAACAATGTTATGAATTGACATTGACATATCATTATTGACATATTGAAATGTCAAACTTTTCTTCTTCTTCATTCTCTAATTAACCCACATGTCGTAAAGGACTGTGACTATGTGACCGTGACCGGTTCCGGTAGTGGCCCCAAACGCTAATGCACGTTCAGATTAGAGCTACTAAAAGAACATTGAAAAAAATATAATGTATAAAATATCAAATGGAAAAATGGGCCAAATTCGAGAAAGGGTGGCCAAAGGGCCAATTGATCACAAAAAGGGCCAGATCTGGCCATATTGGGCCAGCTGTGGCAACACTGTGCACAATGCACAAGCAATGCAAGGCACGCAACGCACACGAGTCATACCATATGACTGCATATGACGTAATCTATAATGATGACGTATCACGTATCCTACTATTCGTATTATGATGGGTGTCATCACTGTCATCTGTCATTCTGTCAACATATCAGTCAGAAGTCTTGTCTTGTCGCCTGTTGATTTCCATGTTTGAATTTTATATTTTATAACGAATAAACAAATTATAAATATTGAGTTCATTGCGACTAAACAGGGAATGTTCCATATTCATTAAATAATTCAAATGCATCATTTGAAGAACTGAAGTGTGGTGTCTAAACTTTAATTTTAATTTCAATTGAGAAGTTGCTGTTCATTTGACTGGCACTTTGTAGGTATAATAAAAATATGGAGCAAGTGGATACGAAAATGGTTATTACCAGTTTTCTGCATGCCAGAGATAAAAGTATATTATCTTGGAATAGGGCCGAACTGAAGAATGTAAAAGTGAACTTAGAAGATATAATCGATAAAAATAGTGAAGTTACTAAAATACAAAGCCCTGATCAGGTAAGAAAGGCGACTGACTACCTATGAATAGTTTTTGTACTCTGGGATAGTTTTTGTTTGTTGGTGTTCTTTTCTTTTTCACTTCGTCGATTTACTTCAGACAGTATTCATCGTTTTTAGTAGTTGGTGACAGAATATTAGTTTGTGAACATTGAAATGCTTTATGATAACAACAGTGTGGTATCATTGGTCTCCGATGATTCTGATGATGATAATTTTTCTAATGCAGCCAATCAATTTATTCCAATAGAGGTAAAGAAATGTTGAGTTTTGTTCCATATCATGTAGATTTTGGTTCTGTTTTCTTGAAATAGTTCATTAGACTAGCTATGCCAGGTTTCCAGACTTCAGGAGTTATGGAGATTCAAATTTGGCAGGGGTGTATAGGATTTGAAAATTGTAAAATTCAGCAATATTTCATACTCCCATCATTTTTGGTTCCACCAGAAATGACCCCAACTTTCGATTTACCAATAGGACACCCCCTGTATTTTATTGCATCAGTCAGGGATTATCAAAATGAATTGAAAATTGAAAGATAGTGGGTTTGATAGAGGCTTATTACAAATTACAAGGGTTATCATTAACTACAAATGATTAGGAAGATATTCTCATTCCCATATGATATGCTCAATGAGTGTGATAGAGAAAGAAGATTTAATATTGCACCATCAGATGTATTGAGAGCTGCACAAAAAGCAGCCAGTGCTGTTTCTTGTGAATCATTGGAGATTGGATTTAGAAAATTGGTGGGTAGCAAGTATAACAAATTGATCATTAATTGAAAAACAATTTTTCTTCCATCACTACCAGTTTCAGCAGAAACGACCCCAACTTTCGATTTTTAAATGGGACACCCTGTATTTTATTCCATAATCAGCGAGGGGTAAAACGCGGTGGAATTCTGGTGTACAAACAACTGGAATTCCTTGGAATTCCTTGGATTTACTTGGGTATCCTTGGATTTCCTTGGAATTCTTTGGGTGAATTGTGGTATAATTCTGGTGTACAAACAACTAGAATTCCTTGGAATTCCTTTGATTTCCTTGTATTTCCTTGAAATTCCTTGGATTTCCTTGGAATTCTTTGGGTGAAGTGTGGTATAATTCTGGTGTACAAACAACTAGAATTCTTTGGAATTCTTTTGATTTCCTTGAATTACCTTGAAATTCCTTGGATTTCCTTGGAATTCTTTGGGTGAAGTGTGGTATAATTCTAGTGTACAAATAACTAGAATTCCTTGGAATTCCTTTGATTTCCTTGAATTTCCTTGAAATTCCTTGGATTTCCTTGGAATTCTTTGGGTGAAGTGTGGTATAATTCTGGTGTACAAACAACTAGAATTCTTTGGAATTCCTTTGATTTCCTTGAATTTCCTTGAAATTCCTTGGATTTCCTTGGAATTCTTTGGGTGAAGTGTGGTATAATTCTGGTGTACAAACAACTAGAATTCCTTGTTCAAAAAATTCAGAATCTTGCCTCTAGCAGGTCTTTACATCATGGAAGACTTGGTATTCGTATACAAAAATAGAACCAATTTTGAAAGGAATAATGCTTTTCATGATTACAATACCGGCATAAAAAACAATTTTCATCTGCCTAAGACACGATTATCTCTGCGACTTCATTCGTTTGAGTCTATTGGACTTAGGGCATATAATCTTATTCCAGAAAACATCAAATATGCTCCTTCTGAAAAATATTTCAAATATAAAATAAAAAATTTGCTCCTTGACATCAGTCCCTATACAATTGACGAGTTCTTTTTATTTTTACAAAATTAATGTATCATTTGGACATGTAAATATTGTAAGTCATTTTATTCATTTGTTTCAATCCTATGTATTATTGTGATGTGTTAGAATTGTGTACCTTTTGACTTATCCTATTGCTCTTATGAGCTCTTTAATGGATGAATAAAAACTAAACTAAACTAAATTCCTTTGATTTCCTTGAATTTCCTTGAAATTCCTTGGATTTCCTTGGAATTCTTTGGGTGAAGTGTGGTATAATTCTGGTGTACAAACAACTAGAATTCTTTGGAATTCCTTTGATTTCCTTGAATATCCTTGGAATTCCTTGGATTTCCTTGAAATTTCTTGAAATTCCTTGGGATTCCCTAGATTTCCTTGGATTTCCTTGGAATTTTCTGAAATTCTTTGGAGTTTCTTGTGGAATTCCTTGAGTGAAGTGCGGTATAATTCTGGTATACAAACAACTGGAATTCTTTGGAATTTCTTCGATTTCCTTGAATTTCCTTGGAATTCCTTGGATTTCCTTGGATTTCCTTGACATTCCTTGGATTTCCTTGGGATTCTTTCGGTGAAGTGTAGTATAATTCTGGTGTACAAATAACTAGAGAATTATTTGGAATTCCTTTGATTTCCTTGAATTTCCTTGGAATTCCTTGGATTTCCTTGAAATTTCTTGAAATTACTTGGGATTCCCTGGATTTCCTTGGAATTTCCTGGAATTCTTTGGAGTTTCTGGTGGAATTCCTTGAGTGAAGTGTGGTATAATTCTGGTGTACAAACAACTAGAATTCCTTGGAATTCCTTTGATTTCCTTGAATTTCCTTGGAATTCCTTGGACTTCCTTGAAATTCCTTGAATTTCCTTGGAATTCCCTGGATATCCTTGGAATTCCCTGGATTTCCATGGATTTCCTTGGATTTCCTTGGAATTTCCTGGAATCCTTTGGAGTACACAATCTTCCGCGGTTTGCTCCTCGATAATCAGTTAGGGATTATAATGCGGAATTCAATGATACTGGGTTTGTTAGGGTTATTTCAAATGATTATGAAGATATTCGCGTTCTAAGTTTCCATTAGGGTTTGCCGAGGGGTTTGCAATCCCGTAGTAATAATACAATCCCGAGGTAACTCGGGAACCCAGGATTTCTGTATCAGGATTAGAATTTGAAAAAAGTATGGGGTATACTGTAGGTACTCCTATATAAACAAAAAATGTAATCTATACATCAAAAAGTAAAGAGAAAAAATGGCCGAACATTTATTACTTACAGTGTTGA